TGTGGGATTGACTCGGTTTTCTACTTTACTACAAGTAATTATATTAATTAGGTAATTTATATTTGGTTAATGTGATGATGGCTTGTCCAAGAGACAGCAGAAAGAAAAGACAGAAAATTAAAAAGTTAAAAACTAAAAAGAAAAAGAAAGAAATAAAAGATATTCTATGAAAGCTGTAAAGCTATTCTACAACGCTAGTACACTACTCCCCTCCCCCAAACCTAAATGAAGAATTGTCTCAAATACTTGAAAAAAGGTAAGAACATGAAGGAGAGTAGGTAAGAGGAGTGGACCGGGACTTCCCTCTGATAAGCTTCCATGGCTTAGGGATAGTTTCGGCATGGTCACTTGGTAGTAGAAGGCTACACGTCCTGGCTATTATCATGGTCGCTAATACTGGAAATACCAACATTTAGGTCCATTGTTGCATGAACATAGTTGCATCTGCTGCCTGACGACTGATGCTACATCGATTGTTGTAGAGATAACAATGACAAACTTTAATATTTGGATAGGGACTATAGATCAAATTTGTGAAAATTGAAAAATCCTATCTGCAAGATATAAAATATGTCGATGTCATGTTCTTTTATCTTACATCGTACTAGACTTAACCTTTATAATCTTTATTAGTTTGATTAAGGAGGTAATACAAATAATTGAGACCAATTTCATTTTTCAAAAACATTGATATCTAAAGGTCTTTGATATAATTAAGTACTTTCTTTTTCTTTTCTTTTCTTTTTTTTATCGTTTTGGGGCAAATGGAAGTCAAAAGTGAATAAAAAGAAGAAGAAGTTAAAAGTGAATGAAGATTGATGATGATTGTGGTGAAACAGTTTAAACTACGACAGCAAGATCTATTCACACTAACTTTTGACAACATCAAACAACAAAACATCATAATCTGACTACTTTTCCGGTAGGAAATCATAACCTAATTGTCCAAATGCCAACGCAAAACAACATGTGAAATAAATATTTGCAACTTAACCTCCACTGTGAAATAAAAACTTTCTCAGATTTGTGTCATTTAAATTTAGTACTATTGCCTCTTAATCATGGTTTTGAGATTATTTTTTTTTTATATCCTTTTGTAATAGTTGATATCATGGAAGGATATCTTGCTAATTCAAAGTTTTAATAAATTAAAACATATGAAAATATGAATATTATCAAGATTTTGAAACTTTTTTAAATTTAAATTTATCTTATATTTGCTATTTTGAAAAAAAAATGGATGGTCGTACAAAGAGCCCTCAACCTCTTGATAAACATGCTTCATTCTAATCCCCTAACCATCCCACCCAATCCTCCCACCGCTCTATTTTATCTTTATATAACGGAATATATTATTCATGTATATCTTCTATTATAAAACCACTGATATAGTTATTGGTACTTAAAATACAAATTCTATTTTGAAGAAAATGTTTTAGAACCTATTAATATGACACGTGTCTTTTTAGAATTTTTTTAGGAAGAATTATTATTAAGGGCATAGGAAAAACTAAAATTATTAAAAAGGGCATGCTCTTTATTATTAGAAAAAAATTTAATTTATTGCTACTTTAATTGTTAAAAGGACTACTCTATCCTTTTCAACAAAAACTTCCTCTCTTTAATCAAAGTTCTCTATGGATCCTTCTCCCATCCCCGAGTCATCCTCCCTTTCCTGCCGAAGCCACCGCTAGCTAGTGCACCACGGTAGCATAAATCCCTCTGGAATTCGTTTTTATCGATTAAAATTACTTCACTCGAAAATATGTTCAATCTGAGATGAATCATGATGAATGAAACTTTCAGTATCGGAAAAACAGCGGAGATCAGACCATTGTCGACTTTTGTTTGGAGTTGATACGGAAAAACAGCGGAGATCACATTTATGTTTTTCTTCACGTTGAAATATTCTCAAATGAGTTTTCTCCTCTCAAAAGAAAAAATATGGGCATTTTCAAACAAGAATTAAGTAGCTATTTTTTATGCTTTTTTTTTTTTAAAAAAAAGGGCATCACGTTGAACTTTCTTATACTCCCTTCGTCCCACAATTATTGTCCACTTTGCCCAAAAAATTTTGTCCCAAAATTATTGTCCAATTTGACTTTTTATGGATCAAGTTACACATTTGTCCTTAGTAAAAAACATTATCCATCAAATCTTTGTGGTTAAACAATTACTTATGTAGGGGTATATCCGGTTGTTCAAGGTAAAATATAGTTAAGTTTGGCTAAAAATAAAATCTTTCATTTTAGTAAAATTGGACAATAATTATGAGACGGAGGGAGTACTATTTTTTTTTTAATATAATTATGCTTCAGAATTAAGTAGAACGTTTTCAAAATTTGAAACTTAAGTGTTTAGATTTCAGAATTAAATGATCGATTATCAAGTAGTGCTTACAAATAAACTAACAGATCTTTTTCATGTACATTACATTTTTGGGGAAGTAGGTGTAAAATTTTGCATGTTTTTCATTAATAATTTAGGATACCTCCACAGGTCTATAACTCCAGTCTCCACTAGTTATGGAAAACGAGAAAGCCAGAGTAACTTCTTTCTTCTCTAAGCTATGTGGTAGAGAACTTACCAAATTGTGAGCATGATGATACGTGAAGAAAAAACTTCACAAAAAAATTTCCAGAGAATGATGTGGCTGAAACTATTTCTTAACCTTTGAATGTGTAAATCTTCCAAGGTAAGGTATAACTATGGACGATTATAATTCTTTCACTGTTAAAATTTTTCATAAAATTTCGATGCACAAATCATTACCCATCAATTCATCCAATCCAACCGGAAAAAATATCAAAATTTTGTTTATATATTTTTTTATTAAATAATATATTAATGTAATGATTAGGGATAAGTTGGTAAATGGCAAATAATTGGGCTAGGAGCTCCATGCTATAATTGGACTTGAGCTATGTAAAAGTTCCATGCAAAAGTTTCCTTTCCCAGAACAGCCAAAAAAAAAAAAAAAATGTTATACGGCCGTATTAAAGGTATTTACATGTATTGGAATAATGGGATGTGAACTTAAAAAGTATAAATACATCATTGACTATCAATTCAAATTCGCTTTACCCAAATGAAACTCACATTTTGTGGCAATAGCGAGTTGGTGATTTTTTAACAATATACAGTACTAGATGTTAAACCCGCACGATGTGCGGGGTTTATTTATATATATTTTTTAAAAATCATAAGAAATATAAAAGGTGTAGAATATATTTGAAATTTATATTAATACATATTATATAAAGATAAAATATTACGATATGAAATGCAAGTATTGCGTTAATGGAAACATAAACCTTTGTTCATCCTTGTAATTATCACCTCCAACTTGCTTGTTTTTCTAATTTTTCCACATATCTGCATAATTGAATTAAAAGAAAAATGATCCAAGCATATCAAGGTATAAATAATTACAAAAAAGAATTATACCTTTCTTCTTCATATGAATACACAGGAAGTCACGATTTCAAGTGGAATACCAATAACTGATTATGTCTTATATAGGTAGTATATGAGATATGAGTGCTCAAGTTTGGTATAGATGAGATTTCTTTTTTAAATTTAAGTGTGATAAGTAATAACATTCCAAATTCAAATTTGATAAAATGACGTAATTGATGGAACCGAATAGAGAGGAATCATAATTTAAGTTATTTATGGTCGTTATATACAATCATCTTTTAAAATTAAAAGCAAAAAAATATCACTATGGCATATTAATTAATTTTGAATTAAAAAAATATCATTTCCTTAATTGGTTAGGAATAATTTACGGATGACAATAAACTTTTAAATTTTAAATTAATGCGGAAAATGGTTTACGGGCTTAGTTTTTCCTTTTTTTAATTACTTTATAATTTGAGGACTCATTTCTAATTTTATTAAGTTTTTTAGAAGAGGTTTTATAAAATGACACATAGAATTTGCAATTAAAGAATTGATGATGATTTTGCATTAATTATTTTTAAATTTTAAAAAATCATTAATATTGTTTATGATCAAATCAATATGTAATGGCATTATTTAAGCCAATTGGAGAATCTTTTCAAATCAATCAGATTTAATGTTAAATCAAATAAATGTTTACCTTTTTATATGACACTTAATGAAAAAAACCGTTAATGTTGATTTTTAAAAAAAGTTTCCGTTTTCTTTTTCATTTCACCAAATATAAAATAGAAAGTTTACCACACAATTAATTGATATACTTTAATTGTGAATTGATAACAATTGTTTAACTGAGAATTTAAAGAACTATTAATGTAATTGTTGTAAATATTTTTTATGTCAACCTATAGGAAAATGACACATATGATTTTGTCATATGTATCAACGTGAGAAGAAATTTGATTTTCTCTCTCTGGTTTATCTCTTAGTATAATAGTATAGATGTGAAAAAGATTTCAGTGAAACTAATTAGGGAGATTAGAAAAAATGGAACAAGGACAAATTGGAAAAGACCTTACTTTGCCCGTCAACTGTCATTCAAATGACATACGGTTATAGCTAATTTATGCTTGTACTATTATCCAGTCTAAATTTTTATTTTTAGTGCAAATTAAATTGAAAGTAAAAATTCAAATTAAAAAATATTTTTGAGATAGAAAGAGTAAATAATATGTGGCCAAAAGAATTATTCTTCGCGGTTAATTAAAGTTCTGCAAACTTCGGACATGCTTACATGTGAACCAAGCCCTACCACGTATCAAAACAACATAAAATGGAACATATTATAAGATTAACATTCGTAACAATTTAGATTGATGGATTGAAGTTGATATTTAACCTAATGCAATACATGATGAACCAGGAAGTCCTTAAGTTAATTTATCAATAGCATTATTCAAAACAAAATAACAAATGACATTTTACATTTTAGGAATGAGGAGTATCAAAGCGAGCATGACACACTATTATGTATATACGTAAAGTACCGAGTACAAAATTTCCATTATTAATCCATTCACAAGAAAATAACGAGATGCATAGACCAAATATATTCTTTCTGTTTGAAGGAAAAGAGAAACAGATCTACAAGGAGGAATTGGCAACAATCGCCAGGAAATCAAAGTTTCTACAAACAATAAATCAACACACTTAAATAATTAGCCAGTTAGGCTAAAGTTTGAATCCTTTGTTTCCCTTAACAAACTAGAAGTACAAATTAATAGTTATAGTAATGGATTGAGATGGATATGCATGGTTTTCTTAATTAGCTTTTCTCATTTTTTTGGTTCATCATAGTTTGGTTAAGCCTAGCCGCTGCTGCCAAAGAAGCTGCCACTCCACCTGGACGGGTGCATAGGTTTGGGTCATTCCTCAATTCTGCACCGATCACCCCCTCGGCATCGCGGCGAGTAACCGGCTTGTCTGCCGGCAATTTGCTGCTTGCCTCCTGCCCCAAAAAAAGGAAAAATAAAAGATGCCACAATCATCAACAAATTTTATTGCGAATGAATATCACCACAAATTTTATCTTGTACAAATGCTAATAATTAATGAATTCCGGTGCAATGATTTCAGACGCGGAGTGTGCAATATTAGAAAAAAGAATTAAACTTAAATTTCGGGGGCTTTAAAAGGTTGTAAATTGGTCATGAATATCGAGGAAGAGAGATTATCGTACCAACAGAACTTCAGCCAGCTTAGTTTTATCCTCTTCCCTTGTAGCACGAGCATTACGAGTCGCCGCGGACTGAGCCGCCGCGGCAACACCACCGGGGACTATGTTGGTCCGGCCCGTTGCTCTCACCTCCGCAGCTTGTATCGCGGCCGCGTCACTGTAGTCCACCGCCCGGTGCCCTGCCGTCAGGACGGTGGCTTCAAGTGCTTCCCCAATTGTGATGCTTCCCTTCAATTCAGAAGCGCCTGATTGGAGTGGATTCCGTTGAGTCTTTTGGGCATCTTGACCACCACCAATGTTCTAGCATCCAACATGTTTCTTTAAAGTCATTTTCAAGAGAACAAAGGAAAAAATAAAAAGGGCACAAAGTCATATTTCATAACAGAACTGATATGTTGCATTTTGTCACATATTATTTTGTGATTTCTGATACATAATGTTTAACAAATATTAGTTTTAATAGATATAAACACTGCATGTTGAATATCTCTGCGAAACATATGATTTCGAGCATTTTGAATATCTCCGCGAAAATGTCATTTGTTGATGGCTAATAAATAGAATCGATATCAAGGACGTCATTTGTTGTATTGCATGAACATTCAACATAGTAAAAACGTTACTAGATCAAGATTTAATTAAGTTGATTCACTTTTTATTACATAATAGAAGTTGTAAACAGAAGAATTGCCGATCTTCTAAAAAGCAAAGGAAGAAAGAACTTAATACTCCTTCCGTCTTACGATATTGTCATATTCATTATAATTCACAAAAAAAAAAAAAAATTATTTTGTGATGACCTAAGTAATTTCGTAACAACATAAGATGAAAAGTGAACCTGTGACAAATGAGATAGGACAGCAGTCTTGGACGCAACATTATCATCACTAGGTTTCACAGCCTGTTGCTCTTGCAGCTCTTGCTCTTCATCAGCAGCTTGAGGTCTAGATGGTTGTTCTTGACTCATATTTCTCTCTTTTCTTTTTGGGTTCTTTATTTGGTACAAAAGATGAAATGATATCTTTTGTTGTTATAAAACTAAACTAATGAATCTGAAAAATGGCAAAATAAACACTAAGTAGAGAAATGGTAGTGTGTTAGTTTGTTGCTTAATGCCACAAAGGAAGGAAATTGACACACAAATATAGTGAAGAGGAGTGGCTGGGATTATGCTTTGGCTACACTCTAACTAATTGAACCAAATTCTTCTGTCATATTAACACGTGGTCGGTGATTAATTAATTCAATTAAAAAGTGTTTTCTTTTCGGTCCTTTTTTTCTGAAAAAAGATAAATATGAAAAAAAATTGTGCGTGGGGAAATGAAGTAGCTAGCTTGAATTTTTGTGGCTGTTGATTATATTTACGGGACTTGGTCTTCTAGAATTTATTTTAAGCTGATTTTTTTTTTTAGATTACATAAAAATGTCTACATCCAAACAACAAAGAGTAGTGCGTTTCTAGAAGATTTCTTTTCCTTTTTCTGTTAGTAATTGTGATAATTAACATGAAAAATTTGAAATAAAACAAAAATTTTGGTTCGTTTACTGTTTTCCAACATACATTCATTTGCATTGTGTCATTTTCGTAGAAAGGCAATCAAGTAAGATGAGGGGTGGCATGATGCGCTGCCCCTCCAAATGCTAAATTAAGATAATTTTATTATCTCGCGCGTACAAAGTTCAGATAATTTTGTTAAAATAAATTCAGTTAGGGGGTGTTAAACCAAAAAATTGGAAAAGGGAAATAATGTACACTGTGCATGATTAAATCAAGTTGAAGGCCATGGGATTAATATTCAAGTTATTTGCCCCCTCTGGTTTTGGTTTTTGTTTTTGTTTTTTTTTTTTTGTTTAATTCGTGAAATAAACCGAAGAAGAACTTGAGCTGTTTCTTGGCTTCAATTTGGAAGAACAAATCAGTCAATGATAATATGAAGACTGCAGAGCGTGCATGTGGTTTACATTGTTTTTTGTCTTCTTCTTTTTCTTTTCCTCTCTCTCTCTCTCTCTCTCTCTCTCTCTCTTGCCAATTCTGAAGGGTGTTCATCGCCGAGCACAATGGTTAATTTTTATCACTGACTTGTAGCTTTTAACATTTCTAATTTGCAAATTAAAAAATAAAAAAGCTGATTACACACGGAAAAATCCCATGGATTTATGCATTTTTTGTTTTTTTTTTTTTGTTGATTTTTTGAAGAGAGAAACTATCAATTTGAATGACACTATAGAACTATAGACATCTTTGTTGGGCCTATTTCCCTCCAATTGGGCCAGCAAAAAGAAGAAATAAAACCAAGCTTTATTGACTTTGGTTTTGGTTTTCTTGACCGGGGAAACAAACCCAATTCCATTGGGTTTTTGAGTTTCGGTTTTTCATTCTCTATAAAAGTAAGGTTTTGGCATAATTTTTAGGTATGTATTTTCAGCCAAGAAGAGAAGAAAAGTTTGGGTAGCCGTGCATTATTTTTGTACGAGAGAAAAAGAAAGAGAACTAGGGTTTAGTTTACAGTTTAACTCTCTTTTGGTTAGATCCTTCCAATCCTACTTTTTGATTTAGGGGTGTGTGGAAGAGTATTGTTGTAATCCACCTTTGGGTGAAGTTCTGTGTATCCACCGGTTGGTGAAAACTGTTTTCTCATTATTGTGGGAATGGAGTTTTGACTGTTGTTACAGTCTCGTGGTTTTTTCCGATTTGGGTTTTCACGTAAATTCGTGTGCCTCCTTTATTTTATCAGTTCTTGAATTAGTTGCTTGGTTAGTTGTTCTATTTTATTAGTAAGAAGAAAGGAGATTTTCTTGGGGTTCGCTTCCGTAGTTTGTTGTGTTTATATTCTTTCTGCCACAACAGCTTGAGCAATTCCGTGCTAGAATCGTGATCAAGACCCTATTTGATTGTTTTTTTTATATAAAAAAAAAACCCATAAACAAAGTGTATCTTTTGAAATTAAATCTATAGCGATGGAATAGTTTACCCAATGTGTAAACTAAGTTCGAAAGAATTCTAATAAAGATCAAACAACTAACAACTATAAATGAACGTGAATTTAAGCTTCAACCGTGTGGAATGAGGCAAATACGTGCATGACTTCTTCGGGTAGGTACGTAGTTACAGAAGCAAATTAAGGATAGTATGTATTGCAAATGTTGATAAATATGTGCTTAATGAAATATACACTACTCATCATGACTCAATGATAAATCGTTTCTTATAGAAGGGTAGAATGGCTCCGCAGTTGACAGTTTTACTAGGGTGATCAGTTGTTGCAATTTTCTGAGATTTTGAACACATAATTAAGCATGAGTCAATCACATTACACAACTCATGCATTCGCTCAAAGTCATGTCATGTACGGCGAAATTATATGCTTGTTTGCTAAAAATACGATGAATGCAATGGTTGATATTCGTCCACATTCTGATGTTAGGTTTAATTGGCATCATCATGTTTCTCTAACCCCACACACAATGAATGAAATCCAGAGTGGTAGTTGGGTGCGTTTTCCTGATTTTATTAATTAAAATAATTACAAAAGGGTCTTGCTTAAAATTGTGTCTACCAAAATTCCTTTAAAGACTTAATTGTTGGAACTAGACAAAAGGGCATATTCTATCGTGAACACATTGATCCGAAACCGTGCAACAACCGTGTTGATTTTTTTTTTTTTAAAAAAAAACAATATTACCAATATATGTAAATTAATAAAATGTACACAATCAAATAGTGTATTTGTTTCCCAAAACACTACAAAAAATGTATTCCTTGAGAATTAAAGATGTTGACTAAAATATAACCCAAGAAGAAAAACAAATACCGTAATAGTTAGTATAATTTACTTTTTCTTTTCCTTTTCTTTTATTTTTGGACTGGGCAATAATTTTTATTTTTTTTTATTTGTTTTTAGGAAAGAGCAATAAGGTGAAGAAACTGTGAGTTTGTATCCAGTATACCCGGGGGCACCGTGGTCCCCCTCATATTTTTTACATTTTTAGCCCTTATTGTATTTTTTATCAATCTTTCTATATTTTACAAGTATAGTCCCTGTCATTTTTTCTCTCTCTTCCAAAAAAAAAAAATCTCTAATCTTTCAATGACCATATCTCATAATCCGTAAAGAATTAGAGAACGTGTTATGCATGAAAATTATAGTACTCGTCGAGATCTATTCAACAAGATCCATTTCGAATATTTTTTTTGAGTTTAAAAATGACTAAATTTTGAGGACAGAATAAGTTGGATAACCAGTATGCACGAGTTGGATAACCAGTATGAACAAAGTGGATAACTAGTTCAAACAATTTGGATAACCATGTAAATCCATTGGATAACCAGCATTAGCGCATTGGATAATCCAATACAAACCAATGATTGGATAACCAATACAAACGAGTTGGATAACCAACTTAGTTTATTATTTTTTTAAAACATAATAAAAACAAAAACCAGGTTGGATAAATAATACTAATTAGTTGGATAATCTGTCCATCAGAATTAAGTCACTTTTAAGCCCGCAAAAATATTTACTGTGGATTTCGTTGGATAGATCTCGACGAGTACTATAAATTTCATATATAATTCGTTCACAAATTCTTTACGGATTGGGAGATATGCTCGTTGAAAGATTAGAGTTGGATATGCATACAAACCAAATGGATGGATATTCAGTACAAATAAGTTGGATAACAAGTATGAACAGAATGGATATCCAGTTTAAAAAGATGGATAACCAACTTATTTTACATTCATACTATTCGTTTCCTTGTATCTAATGATTCGTAAAGAATAATAACATGAATTATACATGAAATTTATAGTACTCGATGAGATCTATCCTATAAGATCCATGTTGAATATTTTTTTTTGAACTTTAAATGCATTTAAATTTTACGGGCAGAAATGAAGAAATGCGTTTTTTGTTTTTCTTTGAAAAATGGTTATCCGTTATGTTCCTACTGATTATCCAACCGGTTTGGACTGATTATCCATTCTATTCGTACTTGTTATCCAATCATATGTTTGACATTCACTCTTCAAAAAAAAAAAAGATGGATAACCACCTCTATTCTGCCCGTCAGAATTAAGTCATTTTTAAGCCCGAAAAAATGTTCACTGTGGATTTCGTTGGATAGATCTCGACGAGTACTATAAATTTCATACATAATTCGTTCACAAATTCTTCACAGATTGGGAGATATGCTCGTTGAAAGATTAGAGTTGGATATGCATGAACACAATGGATATCCAGTACAAACAAGTTGGATAATCAGCATGAACACAGTGGATAACCAGTATTAGCGCATTGGATAATCAATATGAACACATTGGATAACCAGTTCAAATAATTTGGGTAACCAGTTTTAGCGCATTGGATAATCAATATGAACACAGTGGATATCCAGTTTGAGAAGATGGATAACCAACTTATTTCACATTCATATTGTTGTGTTCCTTGTATCTTTTGATTCGTAAAGAATTATAGCACGAATTATATATGAAATTTATAGTGTTCGACGAGATCTATCCGATAAGATCCATGTTGAATATTTTTTTGAACTTTAAATGCATTTAAATTTTACGGGCAGAAATGAAGAAACGTGTTTTTTTGTTTTTCTTTGAAAAATAGTTATCCGTTGTGTTCATGCTGATTATCCAACCGGTTTGGAGTGATTATCCATTCGGTTTGTACTTGTTATCCAATCATATGTTTGACATTCACTCTTCAAAAAAAAAAAAAAAGATGGATAACCACCTCTATTCTGTCCGTAAGAATTAAGTCATTTTTAAGCCCGAAAAAATATTCACTGTGGATTTCGTTGGATAGATCTCGACGAGTACTATAAATTTCATATATAATTCGTTCACAAATTCTTCACGGATTGGGAGATATGCTCGTTGAAAGATTAGAGTTGGATATGCATACAAACCAAATGGATGGATATCCAGTACAAACAAGTTGGATAATCAGCATGAACACAATGGATAACCAGTACAAATAATTTGGATAGGCATGTAAATCCATTGGATAACCAGTATTAGCGCATTGGATAATCAATATGAACACATTGAATATCTAGTTTAAGAAGATGGATAACCAACTTATTTT